ATATTTAAAAAAAAAAAAAGAAACTGTACTTCCGATTTGATTTGAAACTGTCTCATTGCTGTTTATCAATAAAATTTTGAAAAAAAAATTATTGGGCTGGTGAGATGGCTCAGTGGTTTAAAGCACCTACTTAGAACAAGCTTAGCAAAGCACAGGAACCGAGGTTCAATCCCCCAGCACCACATGCCAGCCAGCCCCGCCCCCTGGTGGGCTGAGCTGGCCACACACACACATAAATAAATTTTAAAAAAATATATTGGGTCTGGGGAAATGGCTCAGTAAAATAAGCGCTTCCCTGGCAAATGCAAGAGCCCAAGTTCAATCCCCAGTTCTTCCCCCTATAGTGTGTTGGAGAGGACAGGGAGACATTTAAACCCCTATGCACTCTGGGTGAAAATGAAATGGTACAACCAATACAGATGTTCAATATAACTAATCATAAAATCAAAACCAGTATGGCAGGTTCTCAAAAAAAGACCTGGCAAGGCCACTTGCTGTGTATGTATTTGAAAGAAATGAAAACAAGGTCTTAAATATTTTAACTGCCCATATTCCTAGCAGCACTACTCACATTAGTCAAGGAATGGAAGTAACCAAGTGTTCTTGACTCAAATAAAATGTGTGTGGCGGGGGGGGGGGGTTGTTTCTTTTTTTTGTTGTTTTTGTATTTAGTACAGGGTCTACAGGATCTCACTACACAGATTGGACTCATAGTGATTCTCCTGTTTTCAGCCTCTCAAGTGCTGGGATTACAGGCACACACCACTACACTCAGTCTCAGTTGCCCAGTCTCAGTGTGCCTCAGGGGTAGGGCTGGCACAGTATGTGGGGGATCGAACCTCAGTCCTTGCATCTGCCTGAGCAGGTGTTTTAATCTGCTGAGCTATCTGGCCAGCCCCAAAATGTGTTACTTATGTACACTGGAATGTTACTCAGCCTTGCAAGGGAAATCTGACCCATGCTTCAATGTGGATGACCATTGAGAATTGTTAGGTAAAATAAGCCAGCTGCAAAAGGACAACTCATCATGCCATATAGTTCTACGTATATGAGATAAATCGAATTCTTAGAAAGTGGAATGGCCCGGGGAGATAGCTCAGTAGAATAAGCACTTGCCTGGGAAGTGCAGGGTCCTGAGTTCAACCCCTGGTGCTGAAAAAAAAAAAAAAAAGAGGAATGGTAGGAGGGTCTGGGAGGGGAAAATGGGGAGTGATTGTTTATATAGTTTCAGTTTTGTAAGATGAAAAAGAGATGGATGATGTTCTTGGTTCGCAACAGTGTGAATATATTTAATACCATGAAAGTGTATACTTACAAACAGCTAAAATCATAAAATTTATTGGAACAATACAAAGAAAATTAGCATGGCCCCTGTGCAAGGATGACATACAAATTCGTGAAGCATTCCATATTAAAAAAAAAAAAAAATCATAAAATTTATATGTATTTTTTCACAAATGTGAAGAAAAAGATCTTTACATTCTAGTGTGTACCAGGTCAGGGGAAGGGGCAGGAAGGGCTGTATGTGAAACCTCAGACCCTACCAGTTACGAACTAATAACATATAGGTAGGTTGTGTGTGTGTCCATGTCCTGGGACCTGCTAAGGGCCTCTGGCATGCTAAGTATGTGCTGTCACAGAGCTGTACCTCCAGAACTAGAATAGGTAGGGGATTGTTATTTTTTATATTTTATTTTTTTGACAGAACCGGGGATTGAACTCAGGCCCTTGCGCTTGCCAGAAAGTGCTCATTCCACTGAGCTATCTCCCTGGCCCCCTTTATTTATTTATTTTTTCTTTTTTTATGGAACTGGGGATTGAACTCAGGTCCTTGCGCCTACCAGGGAAGCGCTTACTCCACTCAGCCATCTCCCCGGCCCAAGAACTGAGCTAAGGGGCAGGCCCCCTATTTATTTTGTTTTTTGAGACAAGGTCCTGCTATAGTTCAGACCTGCTTTGAACTCACTATGTCATACAGGCTTGCTTCAAACTGGCAGTGATCCTCCTACCTCAGCCTCTCCATTGGTGGGTCTATAGCCATGTGCCACCGGGCCCAGCCTAGAATAGGTAAGTTTTAATATTACTAACAGCTTGGTCAATGTGTCATCATGAGAGGACAATGGCCCAATGGCCATAAGGTTTTGATAACCACACTAGACTTCAAATATCATATCTAGGAAAGACACCAAAGTTCAGAAATCAGTATCTTATAAAAGTCAGCAAGGGGCCGGGGAGATGGCTCAGTAGGATAAGCGCTTGACTGGCAAACACAAGGGTCTGAGTTCAATCCCCAGTTCTGCCAAAAAAAAAAAAAAAAAAAAAAAAGTCAGCTAAATATGTGGCTGGAAATTAGCTAAGTGGTACAGGGCTGCTCTTGCATGTGTGAGATTCATTTCCTAGCACCAAAATAAAACTAAATGATAAAATAATTCTGTTAAATATGTGGAACTTATTGGATGATAAAAAATTTAGCTGATACTTATGAGATAACTGAAAATATGATCATATAGAATACTGGCTATTAAGGAATATTCAGTATATATTTTATTATAAAATTTACTATAATTTTTTTAGTTGTGATAATGGTATTGTGGTATAGAGTCCTTATGTTTTAGAGAATCAGAATTTCATCTGTGATAGCTGGGATTTGCTTCAAAATAATAAGGGAGGTGAGTCCGTGGTCAGGAGTTGATAATTGGTGCAGCTAAGTGATAGGTTTATGAGGATTCCATATGCTATATTTACTTTCTGTGTTTGATATTCTCCATAATGAATTTTTTTTAACACATACAAAAGAAACACAGGATTGAAAAAAAAAGAAGGGCTGGGGAGATGGCTCAGTGAAATAGGCTCTTCCCTGGCAAGTGCAGGGTCCTGAGTTCAATCCCTGGTTCCGCCAAGAAAAAAAAAGTTAGAAGCATCACACAGTGAAACGGGAAGCCCTTGGCCATAACAGGTGGTAGTGCTAGTGATCAGTGGCTCAGGTTTAAATCCTTAGAGCTGCACAGCTCATTCCATCTCTACACAGGACCTGAGAAGTTTCTCTTTTTTTTTTTGGGGGGGGGTGTCTAGTGTAATCTTTGTAATCTTTTAGGAGACTCGCCGGGGAGATGGCTCAGTAGAATAAGCACTTGCCTGGCAAGTGCAAGGACCTGAGTTCAATCCCCGCTTCTGCCAAAAACAAAAACAAACAGATTACAAAGACTCTAAAAAGGTATAAAAATAATAACTGGTAGAAATTCTCAAACCTAGTAAGATGCACAAATTAAGAGTCCCAGGAAGGTATTAGAATGAGAAAAAAAATTAAACCTATGGTTTTTAGAACTTTAATAACCAGTTTTGGTGGCTAGTTTTAATTCTGTAATTACTGTATTTCTGTATGCTTAAAGCAAATACAGTAATGAACTAGTTATTTTGTATTTGTAGTTTAAGTTACTTATCTTATTTTTTACTGTCAGGTGTGATGGCACACACCTAGTACCAGCTACAGGGGAAGCTAAGTCAGGAGGATTACTGACCCCAGCAGTTTGAGACCAGCCTAGGGAACATAGCGAGACCTCTGACTCAAACACAACTATAACAGGACAAATTTGGAATCAAAGCATAAATCCCCTATGAAAATGGCCTTTAAGGTTTTTTTGTTGTTGTTGTTTCTTCCTAGTCTAATAAACTGACCAATTAAATAGAGAAGCTGAGGTTTCTTTCCAACTCAGACAGCTCTTAAATATAAATCTGCTGACTAAGCTCCTGCTTTGACAAGTGCAGCGACCAGGCTCGATCCGCGTCCCACATGGTGTGCAGGCCCTGAGTCTAGGCAGGGTGGTGCACTCCTGCAACCCAGCGCTGGGCAGGCTGAAAACAGGAGGATCATCATGAGAGTCTGATCTGCGTAGTGAGACCCTGTACCACATACACAAATGAAAATAAATAAAAGTAAATAAATCTGTTAGTGGGTTCTGGTGGGGACGTTAAGAAAATGTAGATATGGGGAGCTGGGGAGATGGCTCAGTGGAATAAGCGCTTCCCTGGCAAGCACAAGGGCCTGAGTTCAGTCCCTGGTTCCACCAAAAAAAAAAAAAAAAGAAAGAAAGAAAGAAAGAAAATGTACATACAGGGATAGCTCAGTAGAATAAGCGTGGGGCTGGTGAGATGGCTCAGTGGTCTAAAGCACCTACTTAGAACAAGCTTAGCAAAGCACAGGGACTGTGGTTCAATCCACCAGCACCACATGCCAGCCAGCCCCGCCCCCTGGTGGGCTGAGCTGGCCACACACACACACACACACACACACACACAAATTTTAAAAAAAGAGGCTGGTGAGATGGCTCAGTGGTCTAAAGCACCTACTTAGAACCTTAGAACAAGCTAAGCAAAGCACAGGGACCGTGGTTCAATTCCCCAGCACCACATGCCAGCCAGCCCCGCCCCCTGGTGGGCTGAGCTGGCCACACGTACACAATAAATAAATAAAGTAACAAAGCTCTTAAAAAAAAAGTCAAATGACTTTCTTTGTTGGAAAGGAGCTGGCAGCAGAAGCATCCCACAGCCGGCAGCCTCCCAGATGTGCTGTCTGCCTGGCTGAGGTGGGAACCTGACCGTTCAGTCCTCATCACACACTGAGCCCAGCAAGGCACCAGGTACTAGACTTCACAGTGGTGAGCGAAAGGCCTACCTCTTCCTGCTTCTAAGGTTTCCATCCAAGTCCCACTGGCTGTTCGTTTGTTTGCTTTGCTGGGGACTGAACTAGGCCCTTCTGCAACCTAGACAAGGCTTCTACCACTAAACTATACCCCAGCTCTGTCAGTGGATAAAAATCAAGAATGTGAGGATGCAGAATTTGGAGGAGGGCAGTTTCTTAGAAACAAGAGAAGGCCCAAGATAGCCCAGGCTGAAATGGCTCCAACTGAAGTGAAACTGAGGAGGCCTATTTCAAAAACAGGTTTAGCCTGGGGATATAGCTCACTGGTGTAAGCACCTGCCTGGCAAGTGCAAGGTACTGAGTTTGATCCCTGGTACTGCCAAAAAGAAACAAAACAATTTTCCGGGGGGGGGGGGGGGGAAAAAAAAAAGTTGAAAAAACTTTATTTTTTTTTTTTTTTTTTTTTTTTTTTTTTTTTTTTTTTCTTTTGTGGCCAGCTCAGCCCACCCTGGGGACCGGGCCGGCATTGCATATGGTGCCAGGGATCAAACTATGGTCCCAGTGCACGTACGAAAGCTTGCCTAAGCAGGCGCTTTTAGACTGCTGAGCTATTTTGCTGGCCCTGTAAAAAGTTCCAATTTTCTTGCCACCAATCTTCCATGCCTGTTCCATTCAAATCTACAACTATGTAGCCAAACCATTAGCAACAAATCAGTATAGATCTATACTCCTGCCTCTTTCCACTGCCAGGGATAGTGAAAAGTCAAATGCACCCATCAAAAGTTGTGACGCCTGCAGGGATTTTTCTTCCATATTCTTCTTCAGGCTCACCCTAAAGGGACGTTGGTGTCACAGCTGTCCACTGTCAAGCTGTCACATCGTATCATGCACATTCACACAAGCCTGCTTGTGTTTGTTTTGTCTGTCAGCTGCTCAGAAGAGATTTCCCCAGGAGGTCATAGGCATTAATTGAGATAAGAATACACACAACACAAGTTGGTGAAGGAGCCACAGGCTCATATAAATGGCTCATACTTTCTGTACTTCTAAGCTTCACTTGCCCTATACCCTGTGCTGATAGACTGATGCTATGAACACCTGACCCTCTGGCTGAACTGGCCAATAACATTCCATTTCTCTCTGTCTCTGTCTCTGTCTGTCTCTGTCTCTCTCTCTTCCCCTCCCTCCCCCCTCTCTGTCTCTGTCTCTCGCTCACTCACTCATTTTTTAAAAAATTATTTATTTATTTTTATTTATTACATTTATTGTGTGTGTGTGTGGCCAGCTCAGCCCACCAGGGAGCGGGGCTGGCTGACATGTGGTGCTGGGGGATTGAACCGCGGTCCCTGTGCTTTGCCAAGCTTGTTTCAAGTAGGTGCTTTAGACCACTGAGCCATCTCTCCAGCCCCCTCACTCACTCATTTTATAGCCCACGCTGGTCTCAAACTTGAAATGATCCTCCTGGCTCAGCCTATGCATGTGCCACCACGCCTGGCTAAGATCTATTCTGAAAGTAGAACAGTTATCTGAAAAAAAAAAAAAAAAAAAAAATCGACTACATTTATTTTTTAAAATTCCTTTGAGCAGGAGCTGGGGATTCGATCCAGGGCCCACTGTGCTGGCCCCACCCTCAGGGTGTTTTGAGACAAGTGGTGGCACATGCCTGTAATCCCACCTCCTGGGAGGCTGTGAACAGGCGGATCACAAATCCGATCTAGTAGTGAGACCCTGAACACCCTGAAAAGAGGGAGAAAAAAAAAACGACTTTGAATCTGTG